TTTATTTTTTTCTTCTAATCTTCTGTTTTAGTTCTTTCCAGCAGTAGTGTGTTACTGCAGGCAGTTTTTGTAAGAAGCAGAAGTAATACAAAGTCTCTTGCATGTGTTTGGTCTTTAGATTTTTTTATCTATTAGTTTTATTATTAACCCATTCGTCCCGGGTGTCACATATATGAGACACCGGAAAAAATAAACATTGCCAGTGTGATGCTGTCTCGGGGCTGTGCTCCGAGGCAGAAGCGGCGCGCGGCCGGGCGGGCGGACAGACTCCGGGGAAGCTCCGCCCGCCGATTTTGTAGCCGCCCGGATTTTTTTTATTTTGGCTACAAAATGTACCCGGCGTGACTGGGTTAATATTGAATATTCCATTGTGTTTAGTATTTTATGACAGTTTTTAAAGGTCAGAAAATCTTAACCCACTAGCGCCAGTCTATTTGGAAGGCGATACCAAAATCGGGAACCTGCCCACACACCACCTGCCACAAACAACAAAATCAGAGCACAAGCTCCAATCTAGTGTCACACAGGTGGAACAGCTTGCCATGTTTATTTTTCCAGGTGTCACCTATGTGTGACACCCAGCGCAAGTGGGTTAAGCAGTGTAGATAAGAAACAGCTTAGTACCATTATATTTTGGTTTTAAAGTAGATGATCGTAAAAGTTTGTAGTTCCTTGCTATATTGTGTTTATACTGTGATAATAAATTATAGTGCTCCATGTATAAGTGAATCTGCTCTCATGTTTTCACTTTATTATTGATTATTCTTTATATTCAAATCCTGTACAATCATATATTGTATCTAATATGAATTAATTATTTTGTACTTGACTTCATAACATTACTGCTGAAACAGAGGAGGCACCCTTTCTCACAGTGGTCATTGCCAAAAGGTTGTGTATATAATTTTAAAAGATGTACCCTATTAGAGTAGATTTCTTCAAGCTGAAGAAACTGATATGAATATAGAGTGGATGTAATAATACTATGCTTGATGCATAGGAATGTCACAAAGTGTTCTATGAAATCATAAATATTTTTCTTTTATATTCCATAAAAGTATCAATAACAAATGTACTGCCAGTTATTCTTTTTCTTTTTAAATATATTTTTAGAAATGGTAAAGTTACAAATGTCTTTTATTATAATTCCTTAATTTGGGAAAGAAGAATCAACTAGTTTATTAGTTACTCATGTAAAATTTTAAACACTTGATGAACGCGTATAAAGTTGCTTCTCGACCACATTCTTGTATATTTTACTTGATTTAGTATTTTTCTTTTTTTTTTTTTTTTTTTTTCCACTCAAATCCTTAATCTTTATTTCTTCTCCTACTTCTCCAACAGCCATTTCTATTTTCCTTGAACATTGTTCCTATTCCTTCCCCAGTCACAGATTAATTGCAATTCCCTCTTTGCCCTACCCTCTTAAGGATGTAAAAAAAAAAAAAATACATCTTACTACTGTCATATGTTATTTTTTTAGGCACACTGAAAGACTGGTTTTCACTTCAGTACAGCAAACGGGTTTAATTCCTTTACAGAGCACTTCCCCAAATGTAACCATTGTATTCCCTCAACATGCCAACCTGACTACTCCAGTTCCTGCTTTTGAGTTGTGTATATTCTATTTTTGCAACCAGACTTTACTCTACAATTTTTTTATGTACTTGCAGGCACATAAACCCTACATAATGTTACTATAAAAGAGTAAGATAACTCTTTATATATATATTTCCTTATTGTATGAATGTCTGATTACCCAGGTAACTATTGAACATTAGCTAAAAAAAAAAATATATCCATAGAAGCATGTGATGGGGATGGTGAATAAGAACCACTTATATTAATAGTATTCCTACAACTTGAATTAATAGTATTAATTTCCCCATTCTCCTCCTCACCTTTATCATTCACTTAGACATTACCTTTACTACCAGTGTCTACTGGTGACACCATGACACGGGTATACTTATTGTCATATGACTTCAGAAATTATTATACAATATATGTTGAAATAATAATAAAGATAATAATTGGTCATAGATAGATAGGGAGCAAGCCATTAGTGCCAGTGTTATGATATATCTTTTGATGCCACACATTGTCAGAACTTCATTACTGGTGTAGTATCAAAACAGGATTGTTGCCATCAAGAAATCCTATGTAACAGATTAATGGTCCATACTCTACAATTCATTATTTGGGGTACTGAGCATACACCAAGTAATGAATCTGAGTTTCACTGTAGCATACTACTTTCATGTGATGTATGCTTGCACCTCAAAACACATTTTCATTAAGAAATGGGTTAATAAGCCATTACAAGTATTTCTGGATATTATATCTGATGAATGAGCAGCTACATACAGTAATAAGCTTTTTTTTCAAGAAAACTAAATGTGTGAGTTAAATATCCACCCTTTCTGCTGATCAACAAGACCAAATTACTTTGATGGCCTAACAGGTTATGCCATTTCAGACTTTTGAATGACTAGCAAGAATGTTAGCCTCTCCCAACATACTGAGATGATTTTAATGGTCAAAATATGTATATATGTATGCATATGGCACCCATCAGGTATGACAAACAATTCTAAAGTAAAAGGATTAAAAGAAAAACAAAGTGAGCTCTAATTTCTATTTGCAACAAAAGCATCAGATTAAAAAACAATAATTATATAACAAATCCTGAGTAATGAGTAAGAGATAAGCGAATTCAAATACCATTTTACAAACTAAGCAATTAAACTGTTCCCTGGACTGCTATCACAGCACAAGACAGAAATTAAGGCCTATTCTTAATATTATAGTTTCTTTTATGGACCATTTAGCCAATGAAATAATGAAACTGAAATATAATGACAACTGGAGTCATTTTTAAAACAAATTTAAAGCAAATAAATAAATCCCATTCAAATTTTCAGCAAGGACATGAAATTCTGAAAAATTAACCTGTTTGCATCTATATGGTTGACTAGAACATAAATATTAGTGAAGTATAAATATACAAAGTCATTATAATGATCTGTCATCACCCTCAAAGTCATTATAATTATCTTTTATCATCATAAAGTCACTACATGTGTCAGCTACTCATTATTACAAAACCTGCAATTGTAATACATTCTGCATCAATATTTTACTGAATGTGCAATACCACATTCATGTAATTATATTAATGATCAAGAATAAACAGGTTTTATGGTTAAAACATGAAATTGCAAAAATACATACAGTCAAATTACTGTATATTCCACCTAGCTGTATATATGTATACAAGTATGTGCATATATGTTTACATGTATATATGTATGCATGTATATACGTATATGTATATATATGCTCATGTACAGTACATATGCATTTATGTATATATATATATATATATATATATATATATATATATATATATATATATATATATATATATATATATAATATATATTATATATATATATATATATATATATATATATATTTACATATATATATATGCAAAATGACATAAGTATGTATGTACACATATCCACAGATATATATATATATATATATTATATATATATATATATTATATATATATATATATATATATATATATGTGTGTGTACATAAATACATATGTACTGTACATGAGCATATATATACATATACGTATATACACATACATGTATATACACGCATACATATATATATGTATAAATATATACACATACTTGTATACATATATACTGCTAGCTGGAATATACAGTAATTCATACACAATAAGTTTATCCTTCATATGAATATAAAACAAAATTTGGTATAATGTAAAAGGTGCTTCCCCCTTACACCCGACACAGATGAGGCACAACAGCATCCTAGGCCATTACTTTTATCAATGCTTAATTCAGTCTGCGCGCGCAATCACATGCACATGCGCACACACACACACACACACACACACACACACACACACACACACACACACACACACACACACACACAAAATCTGAAACCAAAGATCAGGTTCTACAACTTGAAAATTGAAAACCTCATAATTATTTTCTGACGTTCTGTGGGACCTGTCGGAATACTGGTGCAGTTGCCCTCCATCCATACCCAAGTGTGTCTATTTGCAGATGCACTTCCTTTTGGGGTTGAGTTTTTGTTATTTTACAGTGTTAAAAATTTTATCCTCTGGTTCTTACTAGTAAAATTCTTTTGTGTGTGCTTTCATTTTATTCATTTTCATTTTTACATTTGAGATTTATTAGTTCTCATCAAGGGCAAAATAACAAAACACATTACAAAAAGGAAATTTATCACATCACAAAATTAAAGAGACTTATTAAGACACAATTGCCTAATAAGAAAAATAAAGTACAGAAGTGTTGAAAGCTTGATGAACAAAAGCATAAAAATGGTAAATTGAATAAAACCTGAGTCTGCTACTTCAAGGTAGAAAATAATACTATACATTTTTGTAATTCAAGTCCTTAAGAGTAAAAGATAAAGCTGGACCTCTGAACATAATTTGAGAAATATATATAGAAGGAGGCCCACTACCGCTGGGCAGGCTTGGCGAGTTTTAAGAAACGGGACCCAAGCATCACACGTGCAATCACTTTTTTGATGTGACGAGAATAAAAGGAAGTACAAGCATAACACAAACAAAACAACAATCACAAAAACAATTACAGAATATCATAGAGTGAGACAGGGATAATTAAATAAATACAAGTATCTGCTGAAACACAAAACCACAATCACAAAAACAATTATAGAATATTATAGTGAGACAAGGATAATTAGATAAAAACAAGAATCTGCTGAAACAAACTTATTCACTCAATATTCTTCACTCTAAGAAATAAGGCAGTGTATCCACATATGAAAATATTCCACTGACTCCTATATTATTATACAAAAATAAGTAATAATTACATAATGAAAATGACATTAGCCATCATAACCACATTCTCAACAAGATAAAACGTTATATCTACAATGATAACATATATTGTCATATCACAATAATAGGGTATAACTACCCCTAAAAAAAAATTATAAAGACCCAATTATAAAGATTCCCAACCTTCTACCTACTTCATCTTCATTTGTTAAGAAATAATCTTTTGCCTTCAGGCAAGATACATATGACAAATATGAACAGAATGTGAAAAAGGAAAAGCAACTTTCTAAATAAAAAGTATGAACTTTAGGATTTGCCCATCCTTAAGAAAATCTCAAGAAATTGTATTTATGCAATTTACACTACCGGCTATGACCCACTTATATGAATTCTATGTAATTTCGTCCACACAAAGGGTTAAGTTTGACAACGTTAATGAACATGTTAGTAAAATATATATATGCTTGTAATTTACGGATGTTTTCATATTTCTTCATCTAAATGTTACCACTTAAAACATGGTAAATTTCTACTGGGGGAATCATTACATTATATATAGCTGCTTTTCTAGGCAATTTCAACTCAGCCTTCATACAAAATATTTTGGCTACAGTTCAGAGACTACACAATAAAAGACATTTTGGATACTGATGAAAGAAGAAATAATAATAATAAATAACATGAATCTGTTTAAGTTCATTCTGAACTTTAATTTTTGATCATTATTTACATAAATCCTCTAGGCTAATCTGTATATGTAATTATATTAAATAAAAATTATATTAAGAGAAAGGACAGATACACAAAACAAACACACAAAACATTTACATCTCATGACAAAGGTCAGTAAATAAAGAATGCAACATCAGATTACAAGTTGAGTTACATACACTAAACTTGCGTAGATGCCTCACTAAATACAGGGCACTTTGGCTACAGTTGCATTAGGGAAATCCCACAAAACACAAATTTGAGAGTGAGGTGAATGAACACATTATCAAAATTACTTTATTGTACCAAAAATACCATGTAGGAGCTATACATAAATTCAATATGTACAGAACACTGCTATCATGATGACTCTAGCACCGTTCCATTTTTAACAAGCCCTGTGTGATGTACAGGTGTGTTTCTACTGCGATGTTGCCCTGACAAGGGTCGTGGATTTCCCGGACTTGATTGGTGGATTGAAGAGTTGGTGACATTCGTGCTAAAGCTGTGTGGCATGGGATTCCCACCAGAGTTACGGCTGGGAGTACCTGTGGGATTGTTGGGTCTATGCTGATTCTCATATGTCTGATGAGCTGCTGTTCCTCCAGAATGAAAGTTGGTGTGGTTTGCATGCTCATTAGTACGGTTATTCATCTGGCCTCCACCCATTTGGTGGACCCCTGCTTTGCGCTCGCTGCTACTGGTTTTTCTATCACTACTTGTGTTGGTGTGAAGTCTCTCAATGGACTCTGACAGCTGGGCGAGCTTCTCCATCAACGTACGCATATTGTCATGCGATGTTCTGAGCCCTTCCTCAGATAATGGTGGGTAGAGATCCTTTAAAGACAAAAGAAAAAAAAAAAAAAAAAAAACTTTCATTTTTTGTCATCTTTTGTTTCTCTCTTTATTTCTTTTAAAACAGCAATTCCTCATTTACTTGTTGAAGGGAAACCAAAAAATTCCCCCTAAATATCAAGAATTCATACCTGTTCAGCACCAACTTCAAAATGTAGTCGTGCCAATCGCTCTTGCTGCTCTCTAATGGCTTCCATCTGGCGCAGGCGGGAATCTTTACCTAGAAATCAACCAGGAGTAGAAAACTTTATTATCATTTATTTGAATTTTCTCTCAAAAAAAGAAAGAAGAAAAAAAAACAGATTGCAACAAATACTTATCATTAAAATACAAAATACATGCAATATCAACTGTAAATGACCCCACAAACAAAATAATATCTAATATTTAAATATCCCATTTTCTTCTTTCTGTTAACCATTTCATAACAAACTGGAATTCTTACCAAATGCTCTTAGATTTCCTGCTTGGAAATCTTCCATAAGCTGCAGTAGTCCTTGCTCGATCTGCCGCACATCAGCCACATCTGCGAGGAAGTTGTGATGCTGTGTAGGCCTTTCCATTTGCCGGGGCTCTAAGCCTGCTCTTGCCCTGAGCCCTGACCGGACTATGGGTTTACCCAGCCACACTCTGGAGCTTGTGCTTGCCTTACCTAGTGAGGTGTTGAGTGTGGCCCCAGCACTACTTGGGGTGCTGCTGATCCCCCCACCTTTGCCTGATGGGGTGAGGCTTGAGCTCTCTCGGCTGGCTGCGGTATAACTAGGGATGGGCTTTAGAAGACTGGACTCGCCACCAAAGTCTCCCTTTCTACTCTTTGCGCCCTGGGCTAGATGAGAACCTGGAGAGGGCTGTGGGCTATCCTCCAGGTCCCGACTCCTGAGGTCCATCTGGCGCATGGGATCTACGCATTTGAGGGAGCAGGCAACGGTGCAGGGACGGGCGCAGGACAAGCCATGCAGGCCAGTGCGGGGAAACAAAGTGTCAGTAAGCAGACAACTAAACAACAACAACAACAACAACAATAACAAAAATTAGGCATAATAAGAGTAAGGCAAAAAATCATTCACTCTGATGTGTATTTTCAAAATACTTTTTCAGACATATGTGAAAAATAAGCAGTCTAAAAAAATAATAATAATAAATGACAGGAAGCTAAAAATATTCCTTTGCCATAAATGAAAAATATAATATAAAGGAAAACCGTTACTTATTAGATAAGAAAATTTATATGAAAAAAAAACAGAAACTAATGACATTCAACTTTAACACAAATAAATTCACTATTACAAAACTCTTTCTCATTAAACATTAATAACTGATATGTATATATACACCTTTGCAGTGCTCTGTAAATTTTTGTTTGTCTGTGTATAAAAGGTAATACAGCATTTACAGCATAACACATAAAACCCTTCTAAAGAAAATGGATAAAACCCAACATTCACAGTTCAGTTAAATATCTCCTTCAGTTATATGCAATAAAAACAAACAAATTTGTAAAAGAAAGAAAAAGAAGTTTCAAACTATGAAATAGTTTGCTGTAAGTTGATATAATTTTTTCCCTTTTTCAACCAAGCTACATTGAATAATTCCACAATAAATTGATGATAAAAGTATTTCTCTACTAGAGCTTTTCTGAAACCTACCACATACTGAATTAATAAAAAGAAATACTGAGTGTGTGTCACATGTCATATGTGTGCGCATGAGCATGAGTGTTTGCATGTGCATATGCATATATGCGCATATGCATGTGCGCATATGCGCAAGCGTGTGCATGTGCATATATGCATATGCGCAAGCGTGTGCATGTGCATATGCGCGTGCATGTGCATGTGCATATGCGCGTGCGTGTGCATGTGTGTATGTGAACATGGATGTATATTAGTGGCGTAGATGTGGATGTAGGATGTGGAAGTAGTGTGGTATGGGTAGGTTGGGTATAGGATATATGGGTATATATGGGCATAGGATGGTATATATAGGTATAGGTATAGGTATGGTATAGGTAGGTATAGGTATAGGTATAGGTATAGGTATAGGTATGGGTATGGGTATGGGTATGGTTGTGGGTATGGGAATGGGTAAAAATATAGGCATGGGGATGGGGATGAATGTGGGTACATGTGTTTTTGTATATGCCTATGTCTATTCAAGTCAATGTACATATGCGTCATTGTACTTTGCACACAGTACAAATGTATGAGTGTTTACGTTCATACATACAAAATTAATGTTTGGATATCAGCACCAAACCTAATCCTTTCTGTTCATGTTTCTTAACACTGACAATGCAACTTGAAATATTCTAAGAATACTATTAAAACAGTGCTGTCTTATTTGAATAATAAATGATATCAAGTTAATATTTCTAATAGACAAAGTTTTGATGCTGTTGTGTGATAGTATATATATATATATATATATATATATATATATATATATATATATATATATATATATATATATATATATATATATATATATATATATATATACATATACTATATATACTATATATTATAATATATATATATATATATATATATATATATATATATACATATATATATACATATATACATATACATACATGTATACATATATACTAATGGCATATAATAATATATATATACATTTATATATATATATATATATTATATATAATAATATATATATATATATATATATATATTATATATATATATATAATATATATAATATATACTGCTATTCCCTGAGACAAACAGATCAATAAAATAAATGAAATAAAGATTAAAGAATCAAATAAATATACTTTAACTTACAATACATGCAGGGTACCGAAGACAAGAAACGTGTACTATACAAGGCATAACAAACTAGCAACATACATCCATATCACAGAATTACATCAACAACTTGCATTCTTTACAGATCCCAAACGCTTTGATTTTGATTCATTTCCGTTTTGTTTTTTCTTTTTTCTTTTTTGGATTCAAAGTTATTTCATCTTTCAAACTGCTTTTTTTCTTTTTTTCTTTTTATGACTCAAAGTCGTTTCATCTTCCGTTATTTTCTAAATGTGTGTACTTGATTCGGCTTTGCAGCTAAGATATTTATGCAATCAGTAGCTGCAAAGCCAGGTTTAGCAAAACAAGAATAATGATAATAAAATATGGCAATTCTTATACGGGAAAAATACCATATTGTGGTCCACATGTCTCTTCATTATTCGCAAAAGTCTGACAATGAGCTTTAGACACAAAACTGTCTGGATCTGACAACACCATGAAACCAACATATAAATAACAATTCATGCAATTCTTTAGTATGTGTGTACAAGGAAGTCTAAAATTAAATAAAAGTTCTCTTAACCTTACTGAAACTAAAAATAACCCCAAGGCACTGGCCATACACAAGATAACAGGAATGTAATGGAAATATGCAAACCACTAGGAAAAATTAAAGAAAAAGCACAGAAGCCAATACATACTGACACATCAATTCTTTGTAACAGGAAAGACTAAAAACCTGTACACGCCCAAAACTTTAAACAAATCA